TGATAAAACTTCAGTTTGGTATGGATGCTGTACTGTGATGACTTCCATACAGCATTCAGACTCATGAAAACATTTCTGGCTTTACTGAGTCTGCTCTGGATATCGCTTCTGATGCCTCTGTCTTGCCTGATAATACTACCCAAGTATATAAAGCTCTCTGATCTAGGTTTTGGCCATCAATCTTAACTAATGCTGGTGCCTCAATATTTAGAGTCATGACTTCTGTCTTCTGGCTAACTTAGTCTGACCTGTTTTCCGAAGGTGCAGAGTCAATTGTCTTCTCTTGCATATGATGATGCATATAGGAGAGCAGCACAAAGTCATCAGCAAAATTAAGGTCCTCTAATGTGGAGAAGACAGTGCATCTGATGCCTCTTGGCTCATTGTTGTACGCCGCATAACCAGCATGTGACTAAGTTAAAAAACATTGGAGACATGACGCATCCATGTCTTACTCCAGTCTTAACTTCAAAGCATAGATCATTGTTCCCCATGCTGCATGTGAAATTATTATAAAAGCTCTTAATGAGCTGTACTTCTTGTTTGGCGTATTTTGAGAGCATATGGAATACCACAAGACTATCCTTATGAATGCTCTCAGAGGCTTTTTCAGAATCAATAAAGTTGATGAACAACTGCCTCTGCCATTCAATGCATTGCTCAGTGATGTTACGCAGTACAAACATTTGATCTACACCCCCCCTTCCTTTACGAAAGCCAGCTTGCTCTTTCCTCAGTTATTTATCAACAGTGTCCACAATCTGCTGAATAATGATCTTAGCAAGGATCTTGCTTGGCACTCAAAGGAAAGTGATGCCATACCAGTTATTACAGTCCTTGAGTGCTCCCTTCTTGGGTATCTTAACAATAAGCTTTTTCTATGTCAGAGTTGCTAGTCCTGAGCCAAGCCCCCAATCCTGGAGGATAGGTGTGCATGCTTAGTCTGGCTCCTCCCCCCTTGACCTTTCTAGCTTGGTTGAACCTATCAGGAGCACTAAGGTCCTGCTGGCATAGCTCCTGGGATCATAAGAACACGGAAGCTGCCACGCTCCAACAAGGCGCATGCACAAGGGGCAGAACTAATCAAATAGTTGATGCAAAAATGCATTGACTATTTGATTAGTGAATTACTTGATACTTAACACCGTTAGTCTGGGATCAGCTGGGGACTCCCCAGTTGACCCCAGGCTCCAAGCGGTGTGCCAGTTTTGAAATGTACAAGAGTCCCCAGCCGGGGCTCTTGTGCATTTCAAAGAGGAAGCACAGCATGGAGCCTGGGGCCAGCGCGTGACCTCAGGCTCCCCTGCTGACCTCAGGCTCCATGTGGGCGCTTCCACTTTGAAATGCACAAGAGCCCCCACTAGGGCTCTTGTACATTTCAGAGGTGGAACATGGAAGTGCTTGACTAGTCGAGTAGTGGATGGAAATTCCATTGACTACTCGACTAGTAAATTAATTACTAGTTAACATCCTTAATGTGGACTGCAGATAGTGTGAACTACTTCTGGAGGTTGGTGGGACATTTGGTTCATACTGTCAGTCAGGATTCTTCTGGTCTTCCCCAGCAAGAAACATGCATTCTGCTTGCCATACGTTTCATAACTCAAGTTATTTCTCCAAGATAGAGACAAATTGTTCAAAAAAGATTGCAATTCTGTATTTAAAGCCCAAGAACACAATTAATAAGTCCCTATCCTACTAACTAAATAATTTTGGTGCTTAACATAGAGTTATTGAAGAACCAACAAATATAGTTGTAGACACACACCTTTCCTGGTAGCCTCTTCAAATTGGACTCTGGTCATTTCACATATTCCACTCTGGCCATCCAAATTGAGAATTTGGCAGATTTTCAAGCCAGTCCTGTGTGTTGGGAGGCAAAAAGAAGATTGGCTAAGAAATGAAGTCTGGTCTTCATGCTCGGAATCAGAGGGATGGGTTTCTAAATAAGTCTGCTTGGTCCAACTACTAATTCCAACTCTGCTAATTTCTATTTGACACCTCAGCAAAATCTCCCGCAGACCTTGATGACCACATAATTTCATAGAACATAGTTAAAATTTGAAAGGACATCAATAATCTTGTATATGCATCATGATCCCTATTACAATCAAATTAATTAGTTCTCCATGCACAGGTAATTCCAACCCTTCAGAAACTGCTGTTGCTACAAGGCAGAGTGTCACTAAGATCAGCTTTGGATCCAGGGGCGCCTTAGGTAAAAAAAATTAAATTGATCTTTGAAAGATGTTAGGAATCATTGTTACAAATCAACTTGAACATCTTGATCCCGAGATGTTAAATTGCAGGGCAGGGCATAGAACATGAGAGGATGGGGTTTGTTACCTTGTCTCAAACTTACATCCTTTTTTTCTTGATCGCTTCTGGTGATTGATTTTCTCAAATGTATTGAATTCTTGATAGTTGTCATGAGTTTTTTGAAAGCTTAAATTTGAGAAGCAATCTTTTTTATAAAAAGGAGGAAGTCTGAGTCACTACTTTTTTCAGTTTAATCTCTCAGGATGTAATATGTTCTGTTTTGCTTATTTGCTTATTATCCAGCTAAATTTAAAGATTGTCTTAATATAAATTTATAAATACTCACTTTGGAGTCTGACCATTTGTGTCATGACCTAATTTCTAGTATCTTGAACATTAATTTATACTTGTGTTTGTAGTTGGAGCCATACTGTTCTATCAAGCTGTGTTTTAGGGATGTGCATAGGTATGTCAGCACCATATATGGTAATCTAAATGTGTAATGTGACTTATGCAGTCAGAAGTTTGAATTCCCTGACTTCAATCTCAGGAACAAAATTGCATTACATTTTATTGTTTAATTATAACCATGATACTCAAGTGAATTTTGTTTACAATAGTTAAGATAACTTTGAACATTATCTTTAAAGTTTCAGAGGGATAGCCGTGTTAGTCTGTAACTGAAAAAATAACTACTAGTCTTGCAGAACCTTAGAGAGTAATGAAGAATGTAGATGGTATCATGAGCTTTCGTGGGCACACCCTACTTTTTCAGATGAATGGAGTTAAGGGGTCCAGTTTCCAAATAAATAGCAGAGAGAGAGGAGATGGGGTGGGGAAAGAAGGGGAAAATGGGGAAAAAACTGTCAGTGTGTCCATGATAAATGAAACTGATAGAATGGGTACTAAGTGCTCTTAAGTACTCTGTGCTTGTTTTTTCAATGTCATTGGACTGTGGAATGTAGCAGGCCATCCACTCATGTTCTTCGTTTAGACCTCTGTTGCAGATATCAAACTTGTAAATGAAATTAAGCTCTGCAGACTCCCTTTCAAGCTGGTTTTTGAAATTGGCTTGCAATAATATGCAAACTCTGAGATCCATTAATGAGTGTCTGGGCAAGTTAAATTGTTCCCCAGCAGGTTTCTGTTACCTTTTCCAATACCTGATTTATGTCCATTAATCCTTTCTTGTAGAGACTGTCCAGTTTGGCAGAGGGGTATAAGGTGGTGGAAATGTCTGTAGTGTAATTGTACTGTAGTGTCAAGGAACTGAATTTCTTGTGTGGACTGGTCCAGGCTGAGGTTGATGGTGAGGTGGAAGTTGTTGAAATCTCTGTCTTCTTCCCGTGGGTCCATATGATGAAAATGTCATGTAGCGTAAGTAGAGGAAGAGTGCTAGGGGGGTGAGAGCTGAGGAAACATTTTTCAAGGACAACCATAAAGATGTTGACACATAGTGGGGCCATGTGAGTGCCCATGGCTGTGCCGCTGACTTGAAGATACAAATTGTTTCCAAATTGGAAATAGTTGTGGGTGAGGACAAAGTTGCAGAGCTTTGTAACCAGGTGTGCAGTGGCCTCATCAGGGATGGTGTTCCTGACAGCCAGTAATCTGTCAACATGTGGAATGTTGATGCAAATAGCTTCTAAATCCATGGTGGCCAGGCTGGTGTTTTCAGGAAGATTACTGATGTTCTGTAGTTTCCTCAGGAAGTTGGTGGTGTCTTGAAATTAGCAAGGAGTGCTGGTAGCATAGAGTCTCAGGAGAAAGTCAATATAACCAGATAATCCTTATGTGTGGGATTATCCGATGCTTGAGATGATGGGTCATCTGGGATTTCCAAATGTGTGTATCTTGGGTAGCAGAAAACTCCTGGCTGGGGATTTGGGAGGGTGTTTGTGTAGATTTGGTCCTGAGTTGTAGCCGGAAGTTTTGAAAGCAGATGGTTTAGTTTTAGTTCTCTTTAAAGGCTGTGTGAAGAACTTTATTAAGAATAGGTAAGCTCCAACATTTGCTATCTATATGGGGATAGGAAACTCAGTTTCTTCCTGCTCTGGCAAGGAGCAGGATTACCAAGAAGTCCAGCTACTTGAATTCACTGAGGACCCAAATTGGTGCTGATTTCATGACGCTTGCAAGCAGCGGAAACATACTATAGACGCAGAGCACTTTTGCAAGGTTCCTTTGGATACTGACTTCAGCATGGCAGTTTAGCTCCTTCGGAAACTTTGCGGATGTGGTCTTGCACCGATGGCCTCTGTGGAAGAGGTTGTGCTACTAGAGGTTGTGTTACAGCTGGTTGAACAAACACTACCTTTTAGCCCCTGAAATAAACTGCTACACTCTTCACAGGATTGGTATTCCAGTTTCCTCCTCCTTGGTTTAGCTACCCTCTGCATGAGAGTAGCATGTGTCCTTTATTTGTACAGTAGTCTTGGCAGTCTAACCTTGCTCTGTCTGAACATTAACTTAAATTTAAAAGTACAACCCAGGTACATTTCAAATGGGGTACCTCTCACTAGGATTTCCTCTTACTACTCATCATTTAAACTTTGTTTATAGCCTTACAGTGACATGTAGTCCAAGAATTCATCACTACTTAATACTGAAGTTCGTATGAATTCAACATTGCTTTCATTTCATGTATGTTTTACTTTGGATGGTAACCTGTGATGATAAAATCCTATCTATGCAGTTTCCTCTCTTCCATTGGTTTACTTCTGTAATCTCCTGTTTTGCAGGTATTTCATGCATGGAGTTTGCAAGGAAGGGAACAATTGCCGTTACTCCCATGATCTTTCCACAAGTCAGTCTGCTATGGTGTGCAGGTATTATCAGCGAGGATGCTGTGCTTACGGAGATCGTTGCCGGTAAGGAAATATTGCTGAATGTTGCTACTTCTGAAAGAGGGACATTCATTCTCAAGTTCCAGTCTGTAAGATTCAGTAGAGCTTGTCTATTAAAGGAAGAAAAGATAAAACAAAACTTGAACAATATTTTCCTGTATTCCCCTGAAACTACTAAATTGTTTTAATAAGAAACTCGTCTTTGCAGCCCACCTCCTCCTTTTTGCTGTGTCCTACAGTGATATCTCAAATGCATTGCTTACTTCACTGCAGGAATAAACAGACAAAAGGGAGGAAAAAGGCTACTGTTCAGACATAAGCAGCTGTCACATCTGGCACCTGTGGTAACAATTGCTTAATTATGTATAGTTGTAAAAATCTAGATGACTTTCAAACTGACAGGACTGTTGAGATAATCAATTACATGTGGAAAGTGGGTCGGTGTCTTAAGAAAAAACAGATTTTACTAATCACTGTTGAGAAATGCGCATGTGACACTTTTGAGGCCCTTTCTAGGGAATATAACTTTGAAGTGTAGTGGTAAAGCATCTGAAGTATTGTCTGTGCAAACTTAGACTTACTTAAAATAGAGGCCTATAACTCTCTAACGAGGTGTGCATACAAAGGATTTTGAAATTGTCCCAGTCTGGAAGCGGGTTAGCAAGGCTAAACAATCACAAATTGAATAAACTTCAAAGACTACTTTTAGGTCTTGGACTTTGCACCCTACTTATTGAATCCTGCATATGGTCAAATATTTATTGCATCATTGTCTACAGTCGCACACTGTAGAAAAACTAGCAGAAAAATATCTAATACAAAATCATTTTTTTCTCTCTCATAGATAGTGGATTTACTAGTATATGAATGTAAACTTGGGTCAATTTAAGAACAGCTGTTTTTTATATGCAGGCCTATACCACTTACTTGTAGTCAATTTGTAGATGTGCATAGGTGTGAAGGCTTAAGATTCTCAATTGAAAGAGCAAGGGAACCATGCTAGGAGTCATGGTTGACTTCCTTTTGAGACTGTTGATGTTTCCCTTAGTACTGGGATGCCCTCTCTCCAGTCAGAATAACTAAGTACTTCTCAGAGGTGTAGTGAGGGTGTTATGCATCTAGGGGCAAAGGCAAAATTTGCGCCCCTCAACCCCCAGCCAGACCCCCCCCTCGCTTGTCTGTCCCGCCATCACCACGTGGGGCTCCCTCTGGTGCACGGGGTCGCTTTGCTTCCAGTCAGACTGATGCGCCCTCTGGCCAACAATCAGTGCCTGTGTTATGCTTATAAGAAGCACACGGGCTCTTTTTCAGGTGAAAAGGCAATACACTATGTTTATTGAGAATACAGTAGAGAAGCAGTTAGCATATGCTTTATAAAGAAACAGACACACGTCCTGCAGATGGTGCATAGTTACCAGTCCATGGTGGCAGGGCCAGACTGAGGGGTAGGTGAGCCGGGCAGCTGCCCAGGGCACCAACCAATTGGGGGTGCCTGATGGCAGCTGTAAGGGGTGCATGGCGTCCCTTATAGCTGCCATCAGGCGCCACGTGCCCAGCTCCCGCAGCACCGGCCCCGCGGTGCTGGCCAGCAGCGCCCTTTCCCCCCACAGCTGAGGGGCCTTGCACGGTCCGGCACGTGCACCAGCAGTGGTAGCCAGGGTGGGCTGGACAGTGCATGCACCGTGCACCCCGGGAGCGGGCCCACGCATGCTGTGTGTGTCCAGGGGTGGCGCCAGGGCCTGGGGCACCAAAATGGTTCAGGCCGGCCCTGCATGGTGGCTCGAGTCAGTCTTACTGGCCAGGCAAGGCTGACTGAGTGAGGAGTCGGGGTTCCTCTGAAACTTGGCTTGCAGGACTGAACCCAGAGTCCCATGGCAAGAGCTTCCCTTTTTATACATGAAAGTTCCCATTGGAGTATCTGTTTTGCAGTGTCATGCTACAGTCATCCACCTTTAGGAGGTGTTAATCTGTGTTCATTTGATGGTGATTGTCAGGGTTCCCATCCTTGTCTTTTACTCTCTCTCTGTCTACAGAGTTTGGCAATGTTGCTAATTCAGTTCAGCCTCAAAACACAATGCATGTTTCTTTATACATGAAAGTTCCCATTGGAGTATCTGTTTTGCAGTGTCATGCTACAGTCATCCACCTTTAGGAGGTGTTAATCTGTGTTCATTTGATGGTGATTGTCAGGGTTCCCATCCTTGTCTTTTACTCTTTGGGGGTGGGGGCGGAGGTTTGGCAATGTTGCTAATTCAGTTCAGCCTCAAAACACAATGCATGTTTCCTTTTACCTTCAAAGTTTCCACTTCTTTTTGATCACCTGGGTATCTGCAATGGCTTTCACTCACACACACCCTCCACTCACACCAAACAACTGAGTTTCAGACAAGATCAATAGTTACAAGGGGTACAACTTAATTTGCAATACTTAACAGGGAGCAAGGCCTTGCAGTAAACATTATCTAATAATGAGAGACTGAGAGAAATAGAAGCTACAGAACTTATAAACAAGTCATTACATCAAATCCTTATGCATCATACTTATAATCTTATAACCAATATTAAAATATACATTTTTGCTACAGCTGTGGTTTCTGGGGAGGGGCTACTACAGGCAAAGACCTGGATGCTGTGGCCCAATGGGCAGTGCCTCGGACCGACTGGTGGCCAAAGGGATTGTGGGGGTTGTATTCACAGATGGGGACCTGTGCGTCAGCTGCGTTCTGTGCATGCTCTGCCTGAACCCCCACCCTGTGTGCCACACTCGCCGGGCACTTTAGTTTTGATTTTCCTGCAGGTGCGGAAGCAGCCAGTGCCTGTGGGGTCCTAGTGCTGTCCCTTCTGCTGTCCGTCCAGCGCCCGTGGGGTCCTAAGATTCCTAGTGTCGTCCTTCTCTCCTCTGCTAAATTGGTGCCCCTCTAGCATGGCGCCTGGGGGCAACTGTCTCCCCCCCTCCCCTTACTACGCCACTGGCACTTCTCCACCTTTTATATTTAACAGTTGTCTCGTCTCTATTAACTGTTGCCATCAGTGTAAAAATCTTTGTCAAATTTCTCTTAAAATATTAACAGAAAAATAGATCTCATATCTGCAAATAAAATTAATTTTCTAATCTGAGGAGCCTGAGGACTGTCAGGCTTGGACTTCTAAAGAAGCAACATTTTCAGTCTCATGGTTGATATGGAATTAAGGGCTTTTATTAGTAAATAGCGATACCTTTTGTGTGTTATCATAGTTGTGGGTAAGGCCAGGGAGTTTAGATGGGGGAAGTGGAAATACGTTTACTGAGTCCAAGTATTTAATGTTTAGAATTAGATAAAGATATCTGAATGAGGCAGAATGATGAAATGTTGAGCAAGTAGGAAGCATTCAATCATGGCATATTCTTTGAAAGGGCCAGCTTCAGATATGGTTGAAATAAGCAGTTATAAAAAGCACACAGGTGAATTTGCTGTGGACCGCTTCATCTCCTGCAAAATCATCAGTAGCTACAGTCCCCTTAAGCAGTGCTGGTAGGTTAAGTAAAATATTTCTGTTGGCATAAAAAGTCACTTCTCTAATCTAGCTCTGGGATATCTAGGGCACCTCTGTTATTCTGCCTCAGTAACTCCAGCTTCCATATCAGTCCTTTGTACAATACTATTGTATGGTTGACTTACGAGTAACTTCTTACTGAGCTCACATGCTGCATTTAATTTGTTAGATATGAACATACCAAGCCATTGAAGCGGGAAGAAGTGACTACTGTGAATCCAGCTGCAAAAAGTTATCCCTCAGCATCTTCAGACCTCCCATCTCTCCCTGAAGCACTTGAAACAAGCACTGGTGAGACTGAAGTTGAAGATACAGATCTGGCAGCTACAGGAGCAGGTGCTGAAGACTGGGTGAATGCTGTAGAATTTGTCCCTGGGCAACCATATTGTGGACGTGGTAAGCACATCATGGACTAACAATAACTTTTTTTTTGGTGGGTTCACAAATTATATGCAGTTTGCAAACTACTTGTTCAGTGTTTTGTCATCTTAAGACATGCGATGAATGTGAATGCTTGTGTTTTTAAAGTGGAATATATTCTTTGTGAATTGCTTTTAATTGATCCCCCTATTCTTAAATTGACTTTCATGCTCTTGCGTGGGCAGTACAATGATTCAGCAGCAGTTACTGGGGGCAGTGGAGTACTTGTGGTACTGATCAGATGCTCTGGAACAGGGTTGGGCAATAATTTTTAATGGGGGGGGGCACTCCAAGATTTTAGTAAGTGATCAAGGGCCACGCTTATGTGGAGGGGGCGTGGGACCTTTCTTCTCCCTGCCCAGACTACATAGAAATTAGCAGCCTGCTGTTTAAAGCCTCTGCAGCTGTTCTGTAGTAAGCGTGCTGGCGAGGTGGCTGCAGGCCGGATTTGGCCCGCTAGCTGCCTTGTGCCCCTCACTGTTGTATAACTACATAAAGAAGGATTCACCCTGTAGTTCCTCAGTTCCACTTTTTCCCCTAGCCTAAGTAGGCTGCAGGATCTTACCTCTCTTTCCCATTAGAGAAGGTGTGCACATGTGTTGCACATGTACAATTTTTAGCTGAAACCATATTAGGTTCTTTTCTTTCTAGTGTTTATCTTTCTATAATTGACTTTGTGTGACATGATGATGGCAAGAAATCAAGAGTCCAAGAAAGAGGGTGCCCCTCTTGTTACCAAAATATATCAGTACATCTGTTGTTTGGTCTTCTTTAGAGAATCCTTGTGTTGCCTTTATTCCCAGGGCCGGGAGGAAACAAGCAGTCTGAAAATGCTTATTTAGAAGAGGTTTTGCTGCCTGATAATACAGCATCTGTGAATCTGAGTGATACAAACTCCATGGTGGAGCATGAATAGCTGTGGTACACTGCACAATCATGGCTATAGTGGAGGGAACTTTGGGGTTGAGTCATTACGATTCTGAGATTCTAAGACCCATTCTACTCTTGCTTTTATATCTGCATAGTGAGTACACCCTCTACTTCTTCTGCTAACATGAACTAAGGATGTTAAAATGCAGTTAATTGACTAGTGAATGGATTTCCATCAACTTTGAAATGGAGGAGTTCAAAGGAGGAATGTGGAACTCCACATATAGCCCTGGGCCAGCAGTAAGTCCCACTGACTCCAGGCTGCACTTGGGTGCCTGTTTTGAAATGCACAAGAGTCCCCAGTGGGGACTCTTGTGCATTTCAAAGCCATGGAGCCCGGGGTCAGCGGGGGACTTCCCTGGAACCTAAGGTCAGCTGGTGCACAGGCAGCATTTTAAAGGAGCAGCCACTGCACAGCTGTCCTTGCCTGTGGACACCACTCCTGCAGCTTGGCTGGTAGCTGTGGGGTTGGTGCCTGTGCATGAGGGACAGCACATGGAGCCACTGCTGTACATGCCAGTGGCTGCCCCTTTGAAAAGCGACTGCCCCTTTGATATTGACTAGTCAAAATACTATCCGATAAGCAAATCCTTATTGGATAGTCGACTAGTCTTTTACATCCTTAGCATGAACAGGGAATAATTCCGCATTTAAGACTACAGGGAAAGGGCAGCTTTTGGTGCTGTTTAATTTTAAGGCAATCATTTTACAGGGTGAATTCTGTCCTGGAGGTATCAGAATTGGTGATTTAAATAATCATTTGGTCTATATAGCTTGGATGTTCTAGTAGGCCCACAGGAATAAAGATCCATCTGTTTTCCTTTGCAGTGCTTTTTATTTACGGAGACAGTATACTGTTCTGTTTTCACTGCAGGAAAGGGTCACACAATTGAAAAAACTTCTGCTGGTGAAATTGGTCTGATGGCTGGTCTTAGCTTCTTAAGAGACCTGACAATATTGGTCAGTCACAGGATAGTCAGTGGAATATGGTGATGGAAAAGGCACATGCAATCATATGATGCATCAGGCAAGGTATTTCCAGTAGAGATGTGAAGTATTAACGTCATTGTACAAATTTGATCACCCTTTAAAAAAAAAAAAAAAAGTCAAATTGGAACAGGAGCAGAAGAGGGCTACGGGATGATCAGAGGAACAGAGAACTGAATGTATGAGAGAAGACCAAAAGAGCATGACTTGGTTAGCCTACCCGAATGAAGGCTGAGAGGAGTTAGGATTGCTCTGTAAATACATTGCAGGAATTGGGATAGTTAAACAGAAGAGCTATTTAAGCTCAAGGATAATGTTGACACAAGAACAAATGGGTATGATGTGCTCATAAATTCAAGCAAGAAGTTAGAATGTGGTTTTTAATCATCTGAGGAGTGATGATCTAGAACAACCTTCAGTATGGAGCTAACAATGGGGACTAACAATCTGACTAGTTTTAAGATGGAGGTTGGTATGTTTCTGAATGGAACTATATGAGGGGGTTGTCTGCAATAACAGAGGCCTCTCCTAGTCATACATTACTTTAATAACTTTTCATTTTCTCCTAGTCTCGTTCCATATCCTTTTATTTAAAAAAACAAGCAAACCCCTTCTATTCCTTGGACTTGTTTTGGGTATTTATTTTAATTTATGAAAGTGCTTATCAATCACAGGGTTCTGACCTGTACTGAGAGAACAAGAGAGGAATACACTAAGACCAGGGGAGATTTCTCCAGAATACCTATGTATCAAAATGACATTTTGAATTGGAAGGGAAGAGGAACCCATGACTAGAGAGATTCCTTTCATGTTCCTCATTGAACATATCTCAGCTTCTTCCTGTTGGATGATAGCGGGAACGTATTACAATGCACCACTAACACTTGATTCTTGGGAACATTTTGTATGTGCATTTCAGGAAAATGGGAAAAAACCCTTTATGTTGGCAGATTTCTAACAGTGCCAGGCACATAAGCATGCAGCTAAACATTTAGTGGGATTTTTTTCAAAGAATATCTACATTTTTAGGTGCCATGATAGCTTTAAAGGTTGGTAGTGAGCATTAAAAATCTAGTCCTGGGAATCCAAGGAAGTAAATAGTACAGTACTGCATTAGTGTGACATATGGAACCTACAGACAAGCTTATATTGCAGCTAGCCATTCATTTGATAGCAAAGATCCTGATGAGCTTTTTCAGGGCCCCAAGGACTTGCCTGAGTCCACGTTCTCAAGTGGTTGTGACAGTCAGTATTTGGACGAGAAGATCATATCTTTCAAGACTGTAAGATCAGCACTTTTGGACAATAATTCGAAGACACTCGGTCAAATGGATAAGAGCCAAGGCAGTTGTGGTGATGGTTTTGTTTTTTTAATGAAAATTGTTGTGACTCGTACTGTTGTGGCAAAACTACGATTTGCACCTTTAGTCCAAGCTCCTGCCTTTCTTGGAATATTGCTACTAGACAGAAATGAAAGCTATTACTTGGGAATGTCAGGAAGCTGCTTATGAGAGTGATGTGTGCACTGTTCAGAGTGGATTGATTTAAATCAAGTTACCAAAAAAGCTAAGACTGACTGACTGCTTAAAGTGTGTTTAATTTTGGAGTAAGCCCCTTGTAACTCGCTGGCACTTGTGTGTGGTTGGCTTTGTTTTCTCAAACAAAAAAAAGTATAGAATGGGATTCTGTTGAAAAGCTGAATTATGCTGAAGTGAAATAGGGAATAGACTTATGGCATTACCATTATGGCCTGTGGTTATGGTGTTCCAAAATAAGGGGCGTGTATTAGGTAATATAAAATAAGAAAATGACAGTGGCAACTGGCAACTCCAGATTTCTCTTAATGCAGCTTTCTGTATTGTATACTTGAGTGATAGATTCTAAACCAAGTTAACTAATTAAACAAGCCATAAGGAATTAGCTAAACTAAACTTTTTTTCTAGCAGCATCCAACACAGTAAACAGCTTGGGAATTTACTTGTCAAATCACACTTGCAGTAAAAGACAGAGTCTTGAAAAATGACGCAATGGTTTTTACCCACAAAAACTTATGCTCAAATAAATCTGTTAGTTTTTAAGGTGCCACAGGACTCCTCATTGTTTTTTTGAATTAAGGTACTAACCATTTGATCCACTCAGCCATATCCACAGCTTCATCCACATAATTTTCTCCCAATAAGCAGTTTTGCTTATGATGTTTCAGTCTTGCAACTAGACCCTGCGTCGTCATCTTGCACTGCTTATACTTAACACATTTTTCTTTTTTACTTGGGGAACAAATGTTTTCAAAATATTACCTGATAGGGGGTCTTTTATGCCCAGATTCCATGACAGATTTTTTGTGGCAAAAGTATGTGGGGAAAGTCGTAAGACAATGTCTTAACTAACTTCTCTGGCATGGTTGGTCATGGTCCACTAATACATAAGCATAAAACAAAACCAATCCTGTTCCGCTTGTCTTTATTTGCACATGTTATTTTTTAAGCTGCTGAGAAACAGAAATTGAAAGCCCGGAACTTTCAAGAAGCAAGAACTGGTAGTTAGGCTGGGTAGACTAGAGCCATTAATTCATTTTTATGAGACTGTAAGTGTAGGAGTAGCATGTTTGTGATGAGATTTAATTGTAACTGATACTTTTAAATGAGTAATTTTGTATCTTAAAAATCGTATTTAAATAAAAAAGATTTGAAAAATAAATCAATGTTTATCCACCCCAGATACCTGATACATGTGATATTTTGATAGTGACTTTAAAAAGAGATCTGTACCGCAGCTTCCAGGTTGTTTCTGAAAAGTTCAGATTGAAGTTTTCCTAGAAAATTATTCATATGAAAAACAACAATGCCTTTCTTCAATATTAGTCCTTGGTCTTTGCACTGTATGCTTCAGATACGTTTGCTGTAGCAAATGCACAGGAAATACTCTTGGGGTTCAAGCTTGCTTTCAGCACTCAGCGTATTCCTAAAATCCAGAGTTTCCTAATCAGTGAGGCAAACCGCACTGGGAGGCCAGACTAAGAAAAACAGCCAAGCAGTATTGGGGGGGATTTCACAGTCCGTGATCTACTCCATTTCTCCATTGTAAACATTTTGAAATCTGCTTTCTTCTCTTGATGCAGATGGAAAAAATAGTTTGCAGGGTCACACAACAGCCAGCCGACCCAAATTTTTCTTACTTTGCTCAGCCAGTGGAGTTGCACATGCTCTGGCCACCAGAAACCCCGTTAGAGGTCCCTTCATCCCAATATAGTATCATGATACATAGAGGATTGAAGAAGGAGAGCAACTAGAGAGCTTATTTCAGTTGAGAAGCAATTCTTTGGGATTAGCAAATTGAGTCCATAGCAGACACACTGTGCAAGGATCAATATGACTGATCTTTAATTTAAGTCATTTGTGGTTCAATTATCTTGAAGTGGGGGACATCCAGAAATACTTACTGGTTTCTGCAGAGAATACCAAATGCCTGACAATGTGAACAAAAGGACATGCCCCATACTTTTCTGCTCCATGGGGGTAGAGACCTTATATTTTTCCTTCTCTGCCACTGGCTCTTGTAGAAGAGATACAAGAGGCAACACACAGTTCTTGTAGTCCCAGTTTATAAAGTAGTTCTGGTTCCAAGTGGTCTCCTGGCAGAGGAGCAACAGGTGATTCTTATCTTCTTTTCCAGACCTGTTATCTCACAAGGAAGGATTGAACGTGCACCCAGATCCATAATTCCTTCTTCTGGCATTTCACATCTTGGAGTTCATTAGATGAAGACTGCTCTTGGAAGAAACCCAGCAAATCACATTTGTAAACCTTTCCTTGGAAACCTTATATCCTAAGGTGGAAATGTTTCTTGTTCCTTAAAGGAACGAGCCTCGGGATCTTATCCTTTTCATTTTATATTGGATTGTTTTCTCTTTCCTATATCAAATCTTGGATTATCTTTCTCCAGGGTTAAAGTAAGCCTTTCAGCATCTATTAAGTGAAAAAAGAAGACTATTCTTAAAGGTTTATTTGAACCTGCTGCTTAGTAGGCCAGCAGAAGATCCATTTGAACTTATAGTTGACTGTTTTCGTTACTTGCGTTTCTGATCAACATTAAGATAAGTAAAGTGCAAGATGTTCTTGCTCATCCTCTTTATCCATATTGAACATTAAACTTTAGTGTTGTTATCGTCATTTAAAACTGCACAATTATCTTGTCTCATGATTGGATTGGTTAGGTTTCTCTATAATATGGATAATAAAAGGAAATTGGTATACCTTTTCACAAATTATCCTGTGTGTTCTTGACATACAGGAAGAAATCCCAAGAAGAATCCATCTCAGCCTAGAAAAAGTAGACAAGTGTGTAAGGCTTTCAGCTCAGTTTATGACCAGGCAGAGATCCTGCTAATCAAAAGCTCTTGGGGCTCCTTTTGCTAGGGTTGCTTCCACACTTCCAGTTTAATTTTAGCACTGTCTGTGCAAATATCTAGGAACTTACAGAGCATTTTCTTTAACTTAAATTCACAAACTTACTCAGTGTTGCTCTCTTGATGACCAGGATAATCACATGGCTGTTAAAGAACAGAAGTCCTTCAGTCCTTTAATCACTGTTTCAGCTAGTTCCTGGGGGACTAATACTTCTAGTTCTTCCCAGAGTGAAGAACAGCTGAGGCAATTTATGAAGAGGAAACAAAGATTACTTATCTGTGATCAGAATTATTTGCAGGTATGATCTCAACAAATCCATGCTCATTATTTCCCCCTTACATTTCAGAAGGGGGATTTGAGATATTTACCAGAGAAGTAGTAAGAAATTTGGGCAGTGTTCTTGTATCTCCTGTTCTAGAACATTTCCTGTGGTGAAAACTACCCCAGGAACTAACTGCTTAAGAACTATAGCCTGTGCAATAACATGCTAAGTAACAGGACTCATGAGCATAATCTGCTGAAGCAGTATTTTTAGAACTCCAAGTTAGTCCTCCTGGTAAGTATCCTTCCTCTTTTGCAGGACCTAAGCATTGGGTGTATAGGGATAAAACACCAGTTTTAGTGTTTGAAACACAAGAGTTAACCACCATGTACTGAAGCTTGTTTCAACTGGAGTAAATCCAGCTTAAACTCTGGTTCAAAAAGCACAGCGGGTAAGGTTTTTAACCTACTTTCAATATGCTTGTATCCAGTTCATACTTGAACCAAACATGTTTGAACCACAAGGGTATTTACCCATTTTCAGAATTGATCAGTTTTCTTAGTATTGATCGTTGTCCTGTTGGCTAAGTTTCACTCTCACTGCTAATGCACTGATTGCCTTGCCTTGCTTATACTGAAAGCTGAGAGAATCAGAGTTGAAATTACTTCCTCATTTCTTTCTAGGGGTGACAAAATTGCTAAGCATCAGGGCAAGGTTTTGAGGGATATTTTTTTAACAAACACTTTGTGCATTTTTTGTTATGTGGTCTGGATAAACTGAGTTGGTTTATCCAAAGTTTTTATAGCTGAAAAGCCTTCATAGCAAAAACCCTAGCACTCAAATTTAACATGTTTACTGTCTCTAACTTCCCCCTGCAGCAGCCCCTTCCTGCATTGAAACGCCCTTGCAGGGAATGGTAATTGAGGAAGAGTATGAGAAACAGCAAGCAAACGTGGAGATGAAGAAGCAACTGTGCCCCTACGCTGCCGTAGGAGAATGTCGTTATGGAGAGAACTGCGTGTATATCCATGGGGATGTGTGTGATATGTGTGGCTTGCAGGTCCTACATCCAGTTGATGCTGCCCAGAGATCCCAACACATAAAGGTAAGCATACAAGTGGCTTGTGTAGGTTCAAGTCACTCCCTTGCCTTGTATGATCACTTATTATCCATTCCTTTTCTTCTGAAGTTGATTTCATGCAAGTCAATCCGTTAACAAGGTTCACATTGCAAAGTGACTGTTTTCAAAGCAGCCTTGTTTAAAAGAAGCTGGACTCTGTCTGCATTGAAGATGAAGTCTGTATAATTGTACTGATTCTCTTTTCAGACACTCAAGTGTGGGTAACTTAGGTCACTTTCCGTGAAACTGTAGTTCAGCTATTTTTGCTTGGATTCTTGGGAAAGGGCCTGAACTTGAAGTTGACTGTTGTCTCCTTTTATCTGAAAAACTGAACTTCCTATGGTTCATGTCCTTTGCAGTGGAGAATAAATTTAAGATTAAACGAGTGAGTTAAAACTTATTAAATAGTGCACAAGATTACAAGCCGTTTTTTTTTCTTTTTTTCTCCCCTTCAGTCTTGCATTGACGCTCATGAGAAGGACATGGAGCTCTCATTTGCTGTCCAGCGTAGTAAAGATATGGTGTGTGGGATCTGCATGGAGGTGGTATATGAAAAAGCTAACCCCAGTGAACGCCGCTTTGGGATCTTGTCCAACTGCAACCATACTTACTGTCTCAAGTGCATCCGCAAGTGGAGGAGCGCTAAACAATTTGAGAGCAAGATTATAAAGTGAGGCACTTCCCCATCTTGATTGTGCTTTGTTACTTGGAAAGAATTTAGTATCTTGTGACAACTTGAAAAGAAGTCCTCCCACAAAGACTGCATTTAATGCATCCTAACTAACATTAATCCAGAACTGAAGTAATCTGGGGTAGTAGTTTGTGTTTACACCTGATCTAGATTAGTTTGGAAAATCTGCGTATTTGGATGAAAGTCATGTTTTGCCATTTAAAGGTTTTAGGCACCCAGATTGGATGGTGAAACAGATGAACCAGTTCTGAATGTATGTTTCTTAACTTTTCACTGCCCTAATTCATTAGCCAGCAATGACCCAAACCCTCTTTAAGGCGTTCTAAAGAAACGCATCAAACAAAACTACAAGAAATAAATTGATCTAAATCTAAAGAAAAAGGAGTCTGTGTGAAATGTTTTTTTTTCCAAGTTCTGTGGAGACAAAATGATCAGCTGGTGAGTTGAGTTCTGAAAGAAAAGGAAAAGTTAAGGGTGTCTTCTTGTGCAAAAGAAAACATAGACTGAAAAAGAAATACAAAGTCCTGGCAGTGAGTTTAAAGATGGGATTTATACCATGGTATATTTTATAATAGGACAGAACGCCCCCTATAATGTGGAATTTTGCAGTGCAGTTTCTTCGTTCCCCAGGTCCTGCCCAGAATGTCGGATCACATCTAACTTTGTCATTCCAAGTGAGTACTGGGTGGAGGAGAAGGAAGAGAAGCAGAAACTCATTCAGAAATACAAGGAGGCAATGAGGTACGAGCACTGCAGCCTTTTGTCAAATTAAGACTGCAGAGATAAGGGCACACCTGGAGAACAAGGGTGTTATCTAAAGCCCTCTCATACCTCTTTTCCACCCTTCCCCCCCCTCACATGTGAAGTGCATCCTTACTTATTCACCCAGAGATGCATGCATCCACACCGTCACCTAGCTTTCCTATGTACTTATTGACCTCACAAGCTTTTTCCTTACCTACTCAGTACATGATTGATACAGCCATAAGGGAGTAGACTTGTGCACTGTGAGTCATCAGCTTCCCTATGCATGCATCTACCCACACGCACATCTGTTGGGTATGCACATACTCATTGCTGTGTATGTATTTTATTGATAAAATGACATCAGCAGAAAATGGTGCATATTTAAAGAGACCCCCCCGGACGATAAGCAAATGCAATACTGAATTCTGACTGGCTCTGCTGTGAGTAAGGGTTGCGATATTTTCCTTTCCAGCAACAAGCCATGCAGGTATTTTGATGAAGGCCGTGGGAGCTGTCCATTTGGAGGGAACTGTTTTTACAAACATGCATATCCTGATGGTCGCCGAGAGGAGCCACAGAGACAGAAAGTGGGAACATCAAGTAGATATCGGGTGAGTCTCACTGCTTTTGCTTTCTAAAAAAAGGGTGGTGGACTTTTTGGAAGAGGGAAGGAAAAGGTCTGAGTCCCTCAGATTTGCTGATGTAATAAATCATACCTAGAGGATTGAAGGGGGGGAGAGTGGTCCAAAGACTGGAAGTGATGGAGGGCAGACTGGGAGAGAGAAGTCATTTAAATCCTATTTCTGAATGTCACGTATATCCTGAGGCAGAAATGTTGGTGGTCAGATATAGCAGGAGTAAATGCAGATCCCATTATGAAGCATGACTAACTGCATGTTCTACACTTGGGAGCTGAGCATTGTAAGCCCTAGGAGCATGTGTATCATGTAACTCTCACGGTCAGAGCAATAACTGGGTTCCTTTTGCAGGCCCAGCGAAGGAATCGGTTCTGGGAATTCATTGAGGAGAGGGAGAGCAGCGATCCCTTTGAGAACGACGAAGATGAGGTGGTGACCTTTGAGCTCGGCGAGATGTTGCTCATGCTTTTGGCAGCAGGCGGTGATGATGAGTTGACAGACTCCGAGGACGAGTGGGACTTGTTTCACGACGAGTTGGAAGATTACTATGACTTGGATCTATAGCACCTGTCAGTGGAGTTTGGACTGTCTGCTCAGCATCAGGCAGTAGCTCTTTCCTGTGGTGTTGTGGCAGTGCCTGTGTTTCTCCTAGGCAGGCCTATCAATTCCAGGTGCTGTTGTAATAACTTTTACCCAGGGTCTGTCTCCTCCCCTTGCCCCAGGAGTGTTTGTTTTTCTCTGTTTAAACAAATAACAAGAAATCTTTAAAACGTTAGTTTTTGTAAAATGAATTAACTGTCAAACAGTTAGCTTAGGTTTGTTGCTTCATCTGTGTTCCTGACAGGATTCACCCAGTTCCAGGGTTAAAATGTTTACAGGACTTTCACACTCATCTTGAAGAGCCCAGATACAAAAATGAGAGCAGTGGCCATGCAGTGGGGGATATGAATTAGCCAGAGGCCTTTTTCTGCTGTGGACTTCAAATCAATACTTCCAGTTTCAGGCCAGACACACGTACTTCTTGCTGGCTTCAGCTCTGTTCCAACCCCCTCATGTACACATCTTCATTTGTGGTTTTGGTCTCTTGTTTACTTGCACATTACTATTACTACTGTGTTACCAGAACCAGGTGCGAATGTTCCAGGTTTTTACTGTGTTTAGCATGAAAGGAAAATGTGTTTGTACGTGAAAGGAGAACTTTCTATGTGTATAAACAAATAAACGCAGAGTTGGATCTCAAGGGCTGGGAGATTTTTGTATGTTTTAAAAAAACGCACCTCTCCTCCCCTTTTGGTGTATGAATTGTAGCTTCCAGTTGGACATGAAACTAGTTTAGTGGTCTCAGCCCTGTCTGTGACAATGGTCTTAACCATCAGAGATAATTTAGCACTCCTTAATACACCAGCTCTCTCTAATGTATATTATAGGGACTGGCTAAAAGTAGGAATCTGGTTAGACAGAAGAGGGCTTTCACCATATTGTTATCCAGTAGAACATCAAGTTGGAATCCCTTACGTGCATTGCTCACATAGTTTTATATAATTGATAATCACTCAAGCCATGAGCTTATCCAGGAAATCACTATAGTACTGGGTTCAAGGCACTGATGGCTCATATCTCATCTGAGTTATGCAGGTTGCCTAGAAGAGCTGCACAACTTGTTGTAAGTTACTGGGTTACCTAGAGAAGAACTAGCAGTCATACAATAGCAGGATACAATTCCACTGAGAAAAGCTCATATTTTGCCACCAAAGGTCCAATGCAGGAATCTTAACTTTGCGTTAAATTATTGCTGCTTTTTAATGATTCATGGATGCCCCATGATTTGTTCTGCTGCTGCTCTTGCCTTGAGACAGCCTCTCCTTTCACTTTTAAAATGGAATAAGAAGTTGTTGCTGAGGTCTATGATGTATTGTTCTGCAGCTGCCTTTTGTAAGCACTTTTCCCAAATAAAAAACAAACAAACAATTAAACAAGAAGTCTGTTCTTTCTTTAAGCTTGGAATATCTAGATCTCAGCCTCTGTATGCCCGCAGTCTGGTTACTACTAATTACTGAGTTTTGTGCTATGCCATAGTCATGTTTCAAGATTCATACAGAATTGTATCTTGTTTACAGCCTTATGGAAAATAGGGAATTCTATAATATATATATATGAGAGAGTATTTTATGAACAAAAACAGCTGAGACCACCAAACTATGAAAGTTAAAAGGGGGCTTGGGATTACTGTTCTGTGATAACAGAAGTAGATTTCATTCTCAGAGTTAAGTTATAAAACGGGATCAATTCTGTCAAGTTTATTATGGACTGAACATTTTACAACATGCACATTGCTTGTGATATCAGGGGGTGATAAACGCCTGCTATAACACTTTGTACTTAGTATGGTTTATCAAGAGAAAAGCACTCCTGTAGGCTGACTACTTCCTGGTAGACTGCACCCTCCTTTATTGACCACCGTGTATATTAAATTGTAAAGCACCATTGTCACTAGGTTAAGTAAACCGCTTTGGAAATGTTTTCAGACTTATTGTGGGGATGAAGAAAGAGGTGAGTATTGGTTTTAGACTAGCCAGGTAATGTCTGTGAGCAGGATAAGATATGAGATGGCTAGTAGAATGGACATAGCCAAATAGGGGAGACAAGTGTGGGGGTGGTAGAGGCTAAGCGGTGTGGTGAAAAGGATATAGCGCAGCAATGGACAACCAAGAACAGTGAGTTGGCTGCATGAGTGGCCCTCCATCTCAGTTGCCCATGGCTGCTGAGATTCCACCTGTGACCTGCTGACCACATCTGCCCTACTCCCCCACAAGCCTCTCATGCACTGGGGCACTGGAGCCCCGCCCTTGCTCCTCCTCCCCTTCCCAGCACTTTCAAAGTGCCACACATTGCCTGATTTGGTTCTGTTCCTACTCTTCCCCCTCCCTCCCAGAGCTTGAGCAAACAGCTGAAACACCAGAAATCAGGTCTGTGAGGGAAGGGGAGGAGCAAGGACAGAGCTCTATAAGCAGATATGTAGTGCTCCAAAACTGCTGGGAAGTAGGGAGAGGAATAGGTGATGTGGGGTCCCAGTGCGTGCGAGGTGCTTGGGTGAATGGGGTCTGTAGGCTGCAGGTTGCCCATGGTTGATATCTCCTTCACTTAGCTCTAGGAAAGAATAGGAGAAAAAGGGAAGAAGGCAGTGAGAAAATAATAGCTTTGGAAGGAAATGGGAGAAGAGGAAAAAAGGTTTAGCACAGAGAAAGCAAAACCAAACTTAGTCAACAAATTAACTTTCCTGTAGAAAGCTAAGTGCCGAAACATTTACAAATGTACACTTAATGTTTAAATAGCAAAAAATGTAATACTGTAGGATATTTTGTGGGTGAGAAGATAGCAGACATGGCTGTGCAAAGGAAATGGACAATGGAGCCCAATGTTCTCTGTACAGGGGAGGGAGAGAATAGTATGCTTATCTTCACTGAGGATAAGCTATGTGCACTGAAAGATATTGATCTGGGCTTCGCATAGTCTCATGCACTGATGGTTTCTGCATTTGATATGAGATGCAGGTGGGCAGTTGGGTTATTTTGGATGCTCATTCATTGGTAAATCAACGAAATCTAACTGGCCACAGCGAGGCTCTCCTAGTATAGAATACTAGCTTAATATAAGGTAGGCACTTCCTTTCTCTATTTTTTCTTATTAAATGTTCTTAAATTTTTAAAGTGCAAGAAATTGCACCTGTTTTTCCCCCAAGTGGAGAGGTGCCTTCCTATTAGGGATATTGGTGTGTAGTCATGTAAACGATTAACCATCAAGAGGAGGGGCTGCTCCTCTTGTGGATTGGATTCTGCTTACTGCCCTGTGCTGCTGCCTCTGATACAGAGGCAGCAGTGCAGGGTGGCACGGGGGTTCCCAGGAGTGGGGTTGGGAGCGCACTAGAAAATGTCAAATAATCATGTAACCCCTAAGATGTTGTGCACTTAGATGATTGTTGAATTAAATGATATATAACATCCCTACTTCCTATATCATTGCACAGCCTCTCTACTTGAGCTTGGCTGGCAATGCATCTGATTATTAATAAATAACTAGACTTGTTTATAATAAACTATCTGACTTAATTCTGACCTGGTCAGGATTGCAATAGATTAAATGTTAGAGACATGTGAGCAGTATATACCAAATAAATGGTTTTATCAATCATGGGCTACACAGAAGCCATTCTCGTTCAAGAATAAGAGGAAATTCAGTATAAAGGATAAATCATGTGGCACCTTATAGACTAACAGATTTATCGGAGCATAAGCTTTTGCAGATAAAGATCCACTTAATCAGGCTACCCCCTTCTGATACTTGTCAGCAACTTCAGTGTGATTGCAATGCAGCACATATTGAAATAAGCAGAAATGTTTGTAAACAAAATTGATCTGTGAAATGTGCTGCTACAGTGAGGGGAAGGTTGATCTATTAAGCTTAAAATTCCAAAAGAGATGAGACTAAACATCCATAGTAATTTCAGGATAAAAGATGTACAAACGCTCATGCTTCAAAGCATAATCTTCCCCAATGAGAATTTAGAATTAGAAAAAGTTCTTTCTTCTGGCATCTGGGATTAGCTCTTGCTAAATTTCCCCTGTGCCAAAGAATTGTGATGGAAATTTACACTCATTCACTGTGGTATCTTGAGATAATGCAATCGGTCCATAGACCCCATCCTGCTTTGCAAGTTGAGGAATTGCTGTGTGAGCATACATGAACAACTTTATGCCGTGTAGATAACTATTCCAGCATAGTCCTGGGAGCAGGATTATTTGCCATAGCAAACCCCAGTAAAACAGGTGCTATATATTTTTAATGGAATTCGTGTTAAAATATCATGAATTTTCTAAGATGAAATGATTGTATGACACTATCCTTTATTTGTAAGTAATGATCCTTAAATTAAGAGTTTTCTTTTATAAGTAGCAATGTATACATATAATCTCCAGCACCGCAATAGCTCAAACTTATGACAGAACAGGGTTAAGGCAGAGAAAACTTGAGAGATTGCAGGAGCCTTGTATGATTGTGCTGTAAGGACCACTTGTAACACTGCAGCTGCTATGCCCATTCCTTCAGTCTAATTGCATTAGAATGGTGTTGGAACCATAGACATGTAAACAATTGTGACGAATCTTCTTTCAAGCAAGTAAAATTGCAACAGGAATGGCCTTGCTTGTTCATCGTAGTGTGAGCACAAGAAGAATTACACTCAAATCCTGGAATAAACAGCAACAAGCTAACCCCAATGTTGGGGCAAGGTCCCTATATTGTTTTAGTTTTTGTTTGGCAGGCAGGAAATTATATGGAAGCTTCATTTAAATAAAAAACCTCATTGCTGGTTTAATTAGATTAAATTAACAATGCAGTCACTAGAGCCTTAGCTTGCTGAACATGACTTGTCCTTTGCTGCCAAGCTGGGTTTGTTGTCCAGTCAATAATGGTTCAGGTTCATATTGTAAACTAGGATGATGCAGGCAGTTGTAATGATGAACAGCCTTAACTAGAGCTACCTTATAAACACTTATTCCAGGAAGTAGTTACTGTAGGTAATGTTTTTCTCTTTTTATAACATGTTTTATAAAAACCATGTTACTGCATAGTAGCAAGTTAAAATATTAACCTGTAGTGAGATTTAAGCTCCTAAATTCATTTTGAAAAAAGTAGGGGTCTAATTCACTTATGTGCCTTTGAAAAAAATTATCCTTGGGCTATTGTAAGGGGAACTTTCTACCCAGTTGTAAACCAGTTGAGCTAAAAGAGAGCAGTAATGTAGAACTGGATTTTGCTGGCCTAACCTGTTTGTACTGAAAATCTCGAGAGATCATTCATGCTTTATGCTACAGGCATAACCAGTTCAACGTAAATAGGCCCTAAAAGTCTGCAAGGGGATGCAAAAGTATGTCATTGTTTCCCATATAAATCCTTTTAAAGCATGACTCTGGATAACAATCAATTCACTGGTGACTGGTCTTCTTTGACTACTGCAGTTGGAAGCAAGTAGTAGATCGAATTTCCATTGATTAGTCTATAATGGGGGCACTCACTATCCTACTGTGCCCTCCCTTTGAAATGTACATTGCAAAGGGAGAGGAGCAGCAGTGGGACTGGTATGAGCAGGACTGTGTCAGTACCCAGTCCTGCCATTTCCACAGAGACAATGCTGGGGGGGAGGGGAAGGAAGTGGCTTTTAAGCAGACTGCGTAGATCGAATTTCCATTGATTAGTCTATAATGGGGGCACTCACTATCCTACTGTGCCCTCCCTTTGAAATGTACATTGCAAAGGGAGAGGAGCAGCAGTGGGACTGGTATGAGCAGGACTGTGTCAGTACCCAGTCCTGCCATTTCCACAGAGACAATGCTGGGGGGGAGGGGAAGGAAGTGGCTTTTAAGCAGACTGCCCCTAGTACCAGCTCATGGTCCCCACCGCCTCTCTGAGGCAGCAAGGCAAGGTCAAGTTCCTACTCAACTACCCGATAAGCATTTGCTTATCGGGTAGTTGACTAGGTGCTTATATCCCCAGTTGGAAGAATGGTTGCAATGTTTCTCAGTCTTGTAATACAGGCAGTCCCCGGGTTACGTACAAGATAGGGACTGTAGGTTTGTTCTTAAGTTGAATCTGTATGTAAGTCGGAACTGGCATCCAGATTCAGCCGCTGCTGAAAGTGATCAGTTTCAACAGCGGCTGAATCTGGACGCCAGGTCTGACTTACATACAGATTCCAATTAAGAACAAACCTACAGTCCCTATCTTGTACGTAACCCGGGGACTGGCTGTA